AATAATACAGAATACACTCGGGGCATGCCCGAGACCCTGAAAAACAACCAAGAACATTTAACTCCTAATTCCGTAACCCAAACTCCTAAACCCGCTAAAACCCCTCAATCTATTTATCCACTCTAATGCACGTTTCCTTGTCGATGTTTCTTCTCCATCGGCCGTCTGGTGGATAATCGTCAGCGTCGGCTGTTCGGAGGTCTCGGACGGCAAGGCTACCTACTCAGGCCTCTTCCCACATCGCTTTCCCACATAGCAGAGTCCTCTCATGCCCACAGGTACCGCCGATAGGTACTCGGTCGGCTGGCAGCTTGCGCCGATTCGCTCCGGGTAGTCCGATCTTCGATCCGATTGATTCCAGCTGTCCCTCATATATCCACCGGTCCAAAAGCACTCCCCTCCGGCGGTTTGACGCTCCGGGGGTTATTATTGGGGTCGAAAACGTGTCTTTTAACTAGGAAAACCGCAACTCCGTATTTGGTCGCATATTGATCGCACCGCACCTCGTGGGTGCGAACCAGAGTTGACATTAGTGTACAGAGGGTATTGGGGTATCTACTGGCCTTTCTCTTATTCCCGTAAACGCTTGGCATGCCCGTAACAGCCTTTCCTTAGTACCGGAAACAATACCACCGCTACCCCGCTTTTCTCTAAGCGTCAGCAGGTGTTTTCCGATACCCAAGGCAACCACCCTTAGTCAAAGCCTTTGTAACACCTGCAGCCTTGGTTGCCACACAACCGAGGACCTGCATGAATGAGCTGCCACTCAGGTGTAAGCTTAATCATTGCTGTGGAGCTTTCGCTTATTGTAGACTTCCCTAGCCTAGTCCCTGCCTTTCGGCGGACTTACAATGCTCAGAGGATACAGTGGATCACCGGTGAATCAGAGCTTCACTCTGGCTGGTCTTCTAGACACTGGCGAGGCATAGACTCGTCAGTCATTGCTCCCATGAATAGATCCCCTTCCTAGCGCCCGGAATGTAGTTACTCTAACAGCTGGTAGCTAACCACACTGCCGGCACTTGCATATCACCGTGCAACTGGCTTCTAACAATAACTCTCAGCATGTAACCGGGCCCTGTGTGTACTCATACACCAGACAGTTGAAATGGCTCCGTTACACCATCTTACAATTTGCAAAAAATTCTCAACTCTCGAAATGGTACGAGTCGGCGGAGGCGGAGGCGGACCTGGAAGAGGGGATGGAAGAAAATGATTAGGGACGGGATTAGGAAGGGCAGTTTCCTTTTACCTTTTAATTTCCGTTTATTTTTGTTTTTTGATGGATCCAGCGCCCGAGTTCGCTGAGATATGTTATTTCTCCTTGTTGTTGGGGTTTTTCTGGTTGAGTGTCGTTCCGGAATCTCCTTGCTTTTATTTGTGTTCGTTAGTGTTCGTTTTGTTCTTGTTTGTTCGCGTTTGTTGTTTTCTTTTTCTTTTCTGTTCGGTTTGTGTTTTAGGCGGTTGGTTCGGCGTGCGATAAGTCTTGTACTTCAAAGCAATATAAGTTTCTTCTTCTTCTGTATTCTACTCGCTCGCCTCTGGCTCGCGATAGGATTTCTTCCCCCCGAGATGGAGTTATACTGATTCTCGAATTACTTCGGTCCCTGAACTTCCCTCACTCGACACCCCCCATTCTTTGTTCATTCGGTGCCCTCACGGGATGTGTCCACCGTTCACCCCTCGCCAAACCAGTGGCTACTCTCGAAAGCCACCCTCGCCCCTCCTTACTTTCTCTCATCGCACGAGTGATCCCACACGTCGGGTACGCACACTGTCAGTAATCTCCAGTCAGCGAGAACATACTGCCAAAGCGCTCGACAGCCCGCGAAGTTAGCGACCTCTCGGTCGCGAAACTATCGTCAAACTTTTTACCCGAGGTCCCGTGACCTTACCTCTCTTTATCGGCCTTAACCAGGCAACCCTTTTTTACCCAAGGCGGCCCGCTCCCCTCACCCCAACCCAACCGGTCTCCAAGACCACCCTTCAACACAATACGGTCAGCACTTTCGATTGCGACCCCCACATATACTGAGTCTCCGACTCAACCCTTTTTGCATGTCCCCTCCAGAGGACACCACTTTAAACACGACTCGGGCACAGTCTTTAGCCGTTGCTCCAGGGACCGATGACCCCACCATTCTTTAACTGACCTACCGGTCACCACTTCTCAATTCCTCGCTGCCTGACAACCAGATGCCCGAGGACCCACACTCGATCCACCCCCCCTCGCTTTCATACCTGACGCTGTTGCGGTTGGCCTTTCCTGCCTTCGTGCTCGTGGTTTCCCAGTCCTGTTAAGGTTCGTCCACAGATATGACACCGGGAACGTTGGTAATGATACCGTTTCGGTTGAACACCATGTATAGGATAGCGCTCGCTAATGTAGTTGACGGAGAAGTTTGGGGATTCATTCTTACTACGGGGAGGTTTCTTTGCTTGTCGCTTAGATTCTGCTTACCTGTACCACTTGTTATTTGCGCCCTCTTCGTGCGTCGTTTAGTTTATTTGTATGTACGTAGTTCTTGTAGCTGCGGTAGTTAGTTTTTTGTACTTTGTTTTTGCTTTCGGGTTAGTCGGTGGAGGTTGTAGTCGGGTAGTTAGGTGTGCGATAAGCTTCGGCTTCTAAGCAATATAAGTTTCTTCTTCTTCTGTATTCTACTCCACGAATATTACTTTTGTTCTACGCTACGTCATAGGGCTCATCTTGGATCTCCGATCAGGATTGAACCATCCCAAAGTCCATAGTTACGAACATACTCTACTACGTTCTCGCCTCGATTGTATTCCTTGGCACTATAGTCTCTCGTCCATAGACCCACGTTATATCGGAAACACCTGCTGACGCTTAGAGAAACGAGGGGTAGCGGTGGTATTGTTTCCGGCACCGAGGAAAGGCTTCGCCGGAACTTAGTAAGGAGTTAGGAGCAGAGAATAGAGGCCTTCGGAGTATAAGTACTCAGGTTCATTCTCGCCCTTCAGTCCTGTTCTCTCAAGTCTTGATCAGAAAGAAAAACCAAGTTCTTATCGGTAGCAGAGCCCTTAAAGATTATTGAGTTCTAGCGATAGTATCTTTGAATAATCTGCAACCTGATTGTCTATCTTGCACGGCCGTCCCTATTCTATCCGATTCTATTTCTCTTAGAAAGGACCCCCGTTACAATCGGAAATACCGGCTGACGCTTAGTGAAAAGCGGGGTAGCGGTGGTATTGTTTCCGGCACCGAGGAAAGGTTCCACCGGAACTTAGTAAGGAAGTTAGGAGCGGAGAATAGAGGCCTTCGGAGTATAAGTACTCAGGCTCATTCTCGCCCTTCAGTCCTATTCTCTCCAGTCTTCATCAGAAAGAAATATCAAGTTCTTATCGGTAGCAGAGCCCTTAAAGATTATTGAGTTCTAGCGATAGTATCTTTGAATAATCTGCAACCTAATTGTCTATCTTGCACGGCCGTCTTTATTCTACTTCATTCTATATCTCTTAGAAGAGACCCCCGTTACACTTGGAATATATAAAGCAGTACATCAAAACCCTCATCCGAACCATATCTTTTAAACTAAAGTAAGTCCGTATCTAACAAGATATTCATCTCAATTTCATCTTGTGGAATACCATCTTACTCAACATCAATATCATTATTGGCTTCATCCATTTTGCAAATCTTCATATCATTGACAATTAGAACGATGCTGGGAAGGAGCAGGTGTTCTCCCTGTTCTCCAAACACTACGTACAATGGCAAACTACCCAAAGACTTGTCTGCTACATCTATCTCCTAACTTGAGTGTTGACTTACTACTAGTACAAAAGTGTTGATCCACTACGAAAGTGTTGACCCGCTACGAACATTTTGCCCAAATACAACTAAGGATTTGACAGTTGCGCCTCTCACTTATGAGATAGATGAAGTATTCTTTCCGAGAATTGACGGTTGTCAAATACTCTCTAATCACAACATGTTTTGCCCACGACGGCGTCGTGATAGACACAACTTCAAGTTTCGCGTGGCAAACAGGTCAATCTTTCACCACCATTCGACGTTTGCAGCTAGCCTCTACGATTTGTATGGTGAGCCACTAATCGCTACATGTCCTCAAAACGGAGGAGGGGATAGTAGTACAAAGGAAAAGAAGAAAATGATTGACTAGTTTAAAGAAAATGCTCGTTAGATCCCATGGCATCGCTAGTAGATTGAAGTTGATTTATTGATTAATTGTACGCAACCTAGCAGATTGAAGCCACTTTCGTTCTCTATTAAGGTTGTTCACCACATCCTGAGTGTGAGGTCCTCTCCGACGCGAACACTGACTGCTAAAATTGCAATCAAGAGATATTTGGTGAACTCCCTGGGTATGGAACCAGAGTACCGTGAAGTAGGGTCCAGTCGCGGTTTTTCTCGGCAACGACATTTTGAGAGTGATATACGTATTTTTCGTTATATCGGCGAAAAACTAGCCTAATAGGTGATTGCCGAGAAAAACGGCGACTGCAGGTACCATTTTGATGAGAGGTATTCATTCTGAGCAGTTTAAGTCACATACTATCACTCGATGATTGACATTCCTACTTAGCAAGCTATCTTGGCATAGCTTGCAGTACGACCTTCCAGTATTCCGCATCTACGCTCGATTATTTTGTTACTGCCACTTTTAGTTTGTTCCATCATTACATGTATTGATTAGTGGAGCACCCCTGCCTAATCATCCTGTACCTCTCATCATAATATTACATGGCCTGTTGGAAGACATCCAAGGTTGCTATTTAGATATGTCCTTCGCCTTTATTCCACCTATCATGTCATTAGAAGGCCTCTTAACTCCTTCATGTCCCGCCCGCTCCATGACTACACCAGGACATAAGGCAAATATCTCAGGCAGAACAGATTAGGTATCGACAAAAAGAAGGGGAAATGTGTTGAACAGGATGCGCAGGAAGTAAAATCCAAACATTTAATAATAACCCGAGAACCATGCAAAAACTTCCCATCCGAGGCTTTGTAGGCCTCATGATCCTGGAGAGGCTCCCTTTGCAGGTGTGCCTTTCTTCTTCATTAGAGAGTTGAAAAATGCTGATAAAACCTCATTTTGACTCTTGCCATCGCCTCCACCCTGACTAGCCAAAGAAGGCTCCCTATCCGAAGCCCTGCTAGCTTCTCTCTCCTATTTGTCGAATATTAGCGAACGTGGCGCATGACAAGATATCAATACTGACTTTTAATCTTTCCAACATGTTTTCAGCATCGACCTGAATTCCTCCAACATTAAATTGCACTGGTCCAACGTGCTCGATAACCCTCTCACCACTTCCATGATTCTGATTGTTTTTGTCTTCCTTGCCACCCCGAGCTGCTTTTTCCTCGGCTGCTCTAGCTTCCAGGACCTCTAGTTGGGTGGCGAGAAATTCCTGGGTATCAACTGCTGTGACTTCGATAACCTTAACCCCATTCTTATTGAGCAGTGCAATTCCCTCCGTCTCGCCGCGTTTTGATTCCTTGATCACATCCTCGTAAACCTCTACTGCTCCGCCTTCGCTCTCTGGTTCTTCCACGTGCGGTGAAATATCAACACTCCATCCTGAGTTTATTCCCTCTACATCAAAGCCCTCTCTGAGAACACGAATTTTGCCCCATGAGTCCCAATGAGGGGGCACAAGAACTTTGTCACGCTCAATTACATTGTGTTTAAGAACTTGTTGCTGTAGAAAATCAGCATCAATATGGCAATTTTATAGTTGATGTTTTACATAATCACTTACACGTTGTGGCGATGGGATAGAGAGAAGCGAAAATATCAACGGCCGGATTGGAGACGGCGCCGAAGGTGTAGTGTAAATTAATGATGCTCCATCTGAACCACGGTTAGCCTTTGCAACTACCCTGGCTCTCTCCTGATTGTTGAGAGATTTATATGGTGAGAAGAAATTTCACACACGCTTCAGTAAAATTGTCCGCAGAAATTGAAGAACGAAGTCGAATTCTTCCTCCTTCCAACCACGTTCCCTTTCTAACACTTCAATTTTGTCGGCCTATAGGTTAATTCTGCGAAGTCAGTTTTTCTATGCTTTCACGTTCTCAAACGTCAGTAGTTGAAAGAAATTGTTTCCGCACATTTTGGCAAACCACGCATAATGGTAAACCGATGGGTTCATCAAACTCTCCCGGCCCAAGAGGGATTGTTACTTCCCCAACCCCAGCGCCCCCAGAATCAGTATGTGTGCTTCTTCTGGTTTCCCAGGCATGTGTAACTTCATCTAAGGTCCTCCTGCAATCGTCATCCAAGCTAGTAAAGATACCTCGAACTAGCCGAACCCAGGTTTTTATCTCCCGCGTCCAATCCCAAGGTTTGGACCAATCAAGCAAAATGACTATGAGGGTTTCTGGGAGGGTTGCGGCGGTAAACAGGGGACGTAGAAGCGGGATGAATGATGGTGTCGGTTCCGAGATCAGGTATACTCCGAGCCGGGCAAGCACATCTATAGTACACCATAATTAGACGGCGTGAAAGATCTAGGGACGAAGAATGGTAATAGCGCACCTTCGTGGTCAGAATCCAGGACGTCCAGATAAGTGTATCCGAGGGCAAACGCGTTTGCAATTGGTGGTCTTTTATCGGCCTTCCTGTGTCCACCTCCGGATCCTGCCCCACCAACACCTAAGGATTCAACAAACTCTTTTTGGCCATCGGCTGATCCTCCTGTAGGGTTCCGTTCAAAACGTCAGCCCGCCTTTTTCTCAGGATTCGAGACCTCCGTAGACAAGGTTGTCCGTACCTAAAACCAGGATGGACTTTTGAGGTAGCCTTTTCGAAGAAGCAACAGAGGACAGCATGGATGACCACATGTCGTCTTTCTCCGACTCATTAGAAGAAGCATCAGACATCGCGGAAGCTGGACGCTCATCGAAACCGCCGGAGCGGGCCATGACTGATTCGCGATGGTTTGTTTCTGGTTATTCGGTAGATCGATGAGGGTTGAATTGTACGAGACTTAATATTTAACAGCACGGTATAGAAGTATTTTGAGTGAGAGCTCTAGTAATTATAAGATTAGTGGAAGATAGTGGGGGAACGTATCGCAGACGAAGAAGGGGGTGGAGGTGTTACGTGAGTTGTAGCTAGGGAGGTCTCCTCGACCAGTCGGCATGCGCCTATCTCGTGGTATTTGCCGGCGTGTCAAGGGTCAGTCAATTTGTTGTCGATCCCTCAAATTATCAACTTTAGCCAAGTCGTTCCAGATGCAACGCAGGTATGAGTAAAAATACTCTACACTATCAGACCCTTTTGGTATACAGACAATATGTCCATCTGTCACCAGCTCCAGCTAATGCACGATAGAAAGAAGGGCTAGGGTTGCTGGTTGGGGCGTTTCACACACAGTTGGGATGGATGGCCTAAAGTTATAACAGTATGCGATGAGTCGGCAAGCTGCAAAATACATGCACGTCACATGGTGTTATGTAGTAGAGTAGGTGCTTACATGTACTTATCTAGAGGAGATGTACCCACTCTATGTACCTACATAACTTAACCCTGTGTGGCTGCATCCTATTGCACTCCCGGTGCTGTTATTGATCATGTAGGTACATCTACCTACTCTGCTCTACTCTACAAGGTACTCTACATACATACCTGCTCTGTTCCTTATCGTCGAGGTTCATATATCGCCGCCGCCTTAGTTCCTGATAATAGACAAGACTATTACACGCTGTCGCGCTGTCGCGCTGTACATACAATTTACCTACCTCCTCCTAACCAACCTCCCCCGAGTATCTCATTCTATCACGTAGCCACTCTCAGTTGTTGTTATTTGGCACATTTCACCCCCCCTCTTCTCTAATCGCCCCCCCCCCCCCCCCCAAAAAAAAAAAAAAAAAAAAAAAAACCGCTCCCTCTCTGTGCTCTCCTCTTGCCTACTTCGAAATGAACACACGTCCGCAGATAGCTACTACCGATCGTTCCCAAGCCCTCTCTGCAACCTTCAACCAGGACTATTCCTGCTTCTCAGTTGGCCTCGATTCCGGCTTTTGTGGTGTGTCAAGCTTCAAGCTACTCGCTCCCTACATGCAACGAATGAAAGCTTACATTTGTGTAAACAGTTTACAATTCGGATCCATGCGAGCTACACATCTCCCGGAGTAAGAGCCCTCGCTTTAACTTAAAAGCTTGGCGAAGCTAACCTTCACTGCTCTTTCAAAGATCTTAATGCCGGTATAGGCATTGCTGCCATGCTTAACAGGGCCAACTACCTCGCAATCGTCGGCGGAGGTCGCTCGCCAAAATTCCCTCAGAATAGGGTTAATATTTGGGACGATATCAAGCAGAAACCAGTCATCACTCTAGAATTTCGATCGGAGATACATGCAGTACGCCTTTCACGGTCTCGGATAGTTGTTGTCTTGTTGGGAAGCGTTCATATCTATGCCTTCTCTTCGCCGCCATCCCGGCTACATGTTTTTGAAACCTACGACAACCCACTTGGTCTGGTGGCCCTATCTGCAAAGACTCTAGTATTTCCAGGCAGGCTACCAGGTCACTTGCAGATTTTTGATCTGGTTACCGGAAATGTCAATATAATACCAGCGCATTCGACACCTCTTGCTGCTGTAACAATATCGCCTCAGGGAGATATAGTAGCCACAGCATCCGAAACAGTAATTACACCGATATACCTCTCCTAGTTTCTAGATTTACTGTATAAGCTGACTCTTCAAAGGGTACCTTGATTCGTGTATTTTCTGCTTCGACTGGTCTTCCAATCACCGAACTTCGAAGAGGAATCGATAAGGCAACCATCTTTTCTCTCGCTATTTCCCCATCTTCCTCTCGTTTGGCTGTCACTAGTGACAAGAGTACCTTGCATATTTTCGAGCTCCCATCTTCGTCTTTAATATCCCAACCTGTACCTCGACCATCATCGTCGCTATCCTCACACTCCACAAGTGCAACTCCCTCGGGAGACAATAAACGTTGGTCTCTACTAGGAAAACTACCTTTACTACCAAAGTATTTTTCTAGTGAGTGGAGTGCCGCCCAGGCGAAATTTGAAGGTGGCGGAAGAGGAGATCTAGGGTGGATCGGTGAAGACACTCTGATTGCTATTGGAACCGGAGGGAAGACTGGAGAGGCAAGGTGGGAAAAGTTTGTGGTGGTTGAGGGTGAAGGGGGCGTTGGTATTGAGTGTATACGGGAAGGTTGGAGAAGATACCTAGATAATGATTAAGGTTCTCACTAGCCGTTTCGGTCCGGAATTGTATTAGGTCCAGGTTTTCGGAATGTTTTTCTCTTAGGAGCTCAAGTCTTCTTTAGCTCTCTGTCGCTGTGGACACTACAGGACCTGTTATTGGAATGAGATCGGGAACGATTTGTTAATTTGGAAAGATATCTATACTAAATTCTTGCTCTTGTTGAGCAGACCACGGAAAGTGGGTTTATACTTTTGTCGTTGCTTTCCGGTTCTCCTTGGTTGGCATGTTTATTCTACTCTTAGGTATTCTTCTATTCATCACTTCAAGGTTTGACTAGTATCCCTAGTATTTTGCCCTCATATCTTTGTCATAACCTTCTTAGATTGCACTATTTTAATAGCATTTTATCTGGACCAGCTGTATCTTCAGTTGAACGTGATCAAACGCTCATATACAAAATTCAATCGCTTAATTCTTGGCCGGGATGTGGGTTCTTATATGATCCTGCACTACAGTTTGAGTCATATTATGTCACTCGGTTTTTACTTTCTGTATGATTTGTTAGCTTCTTTTTAGCAAGCATACTAGTATAGATGGACCTTTCATTATTATTATTTTAGAGTCAAGACCTCTCAAGCAATTGTTCCGAGACATGAGAACGAATTCTTAATTCCCTCCTCTAACTTACTGTCTATCAATCATCCTAGATTATTGTTTCGATACTCAATACCCGACGCTACGACCCCCAGGTGTCCAATTGTACTCTTCGATGGTTTATGGACTATGAAAGTAAACTGCGTATAAGTCTGTTTCACCAATATGTCTTCTCGTACATCATTTTAAATCCTACATACCTACCACTTACATACATGTATGTACAGCGATTTGTAATAAGTGATGGAACGCCCTAAGATACAGTTATACATAAAACAGCGTATGTTGGTGGCGTTTTACCCAGAACAGGTATCACTGTGTCTCAGGCCGTTCCATCACTTATTACCTACCGCTGTACATGTACTTTATGTAGATAAAATGGATAAAATACATGTACCATTATTTCTAAATAAACAACATATCTCCGCGTAGTAGATATCTTTGAGGTATTTCACACTGTTGCATCGCTTAATGCGGAATGCGACATCCTTTTGTACTCCGGGTAGCGATAATTCAGGAGTTCATAATTGCGGGAACAAGCGTTCTAACTGTGTAGTAGTACATTCAATGTATACTCTCCTACCTACTTACCACCTACAACCAATATGTGAACCTCTAGGGTTAAAATAAAGTTGTGGGCGAGATAAGGATATCAAGGCTCCAATTGGTTGATTCATGGTTATTTACATATACATGTATGTATCTATTGCTTTTCTATAGATTTGTGGCATGTAACGTTCGAGTACACATTGAGAAATTTTGCTACATTTACCAAGTACATATGTATACATGTACTTTTGAGTAGCGAAAATAGGTATTCGGTACCACACAAAATCTAAATATCATGCACACATTTGCACACACTTAACCTTATAAAATCTTATCCAATTGCGCCTTCGCTACCTATTGCGGCACTGTCACAGTTGTCTCTACTTGCACGTTCGCCCTGAGAGATATCGATTTTGCGATTGTGAGTACTCACGACCATGAACAATTTCCGCGACCCCCTTCGAATTTTCAGTCTTTATCGAATATGTGAGATTTACACAACTCAGAATTCTAGTCAGCTACAGAGAGCTACAATAGCTGTAGGTGACTAGGAACTGGGTGTTTTACCTATCTAAACTTATAGCGTTAAATATATACATACATACATGTATACAGTTGAGCACCTTCCGACCGGAGGCTAGAGTAGAGATATAGCCTGCAGCTGAATAGTATCTCCATGATATCACCTAAACGTCCTTGTGCGCTGATCAAAGTTCATGACTCAAACAAACATTCTAGAAAAGAAGTCCGAACTGTCAATAGTACCAAACCAACAAAAAGCAATTAAAATCATCAATATCAATAATCTGGACGACTCAGAATCGCCAAACTTCAGAAACAACAGAAACCGTAATTGGAAAAGAAACAACCCAAAAAGAATTCCAAACATGACCAATCAAAACATATACATGTAGTTTTCTCCCATCTATGGCAGATGAATAACATATATGTGGCAGAGAACACATACGTTACAACTATCATTCACCCACCTCAACCTTAATTCGGTAACTGCATGTGCATGTATATTTAGGCACTACATCCTCGAGCCCATTCACATAAACCATACTGTTTTTAAAGAGACCACTAGGTCTTATGATATATGAAAGAGTCCTTGAGTGTGATAAATTACGTTATATGTATGTACTAGATCTACCCTATGTCCAATTGCAACTGTAAACAGGTGCATGATCAAAGGCGACGAAACTTTCATAGAGCTAGCGGTCGCCTTGCAACGCATTCTATTATCTACATATATCTAATAAGTATATAGATATACCGATATGCAATGTGTTATTTAAAGGTTTTGATTGGCCAGGTTTGAGGGGTTTTCTTTTTCTCTATCAAATATGTTTGTCAGTAAGTAGATATTCTATCAAATATGTTGGAGTTAGTAGATATTCTATCAAATATGTTTGAGTCAGCCAGTAGATATTGGTTCCAACATACCTTGAGTCAACCAAATAGTATATCAGATATGTGCACAGGGCATCTTGGGGTTTCAGTGATCTTAAGCGTTGGTAAACTGATATTGTTTAAGCCATAACAGTTCCTACTCCGGCCTTTGGCCGGAAAATGCTTGTATACACTATGTGAACACATCAATAAAGTCTCAAGACTTAGACGTGATGGGACACAAATAATTCAATACTCCACTTAAACCGATATTTGAAAGATAAGGTTCAGACTCGACCTATACCCCGAGGACCGGTGGGAAAAGCTGTCGAATTCCCATCTGGAGGCCTCTAAAAGTGGCTTGAGCCGTCACTCCACGAGACCTGCTCTGCCCACACAGTGGATCAACGTTACGCCGGGCAAATGACAGGTACACAACCTTATCTCACGAACGATCTGTATCTAACACGCTGGCAGATCTTGCTGATACTATGACAACTAAATTGCCAGCGGAACACTTGCGATATCCACTTGTAGGAGATTTAAAAGAGCTGATCGACTAGGAGTGTTGAAGAAACATATCTCCAAACAAGAGATGATCCACTGCTAGACGTGTAACACAGAATCTGTAACCCCTGATCAGCGGGGAATTAGTAGCACGATGTCGTCGCTAGATCTCAGCAACATAGGTACCATCTGCGCATGCAGCTCTCCTGTATATTCGGAATTTCAACCGGGATCACCAGTGCTTACCCGCTTCATTAATACCTCTCCCCTGGAGCAAGCGATGTTGCGCAGCAAGATCTCTCCAGCTCAGTTGTGATAAACCGATAATCGTAAGTTGGATTTGGGCGGATGGGCGCTGGATTTAACCATCAAATTGCGGTCATGACGCATCACTCGATCGAGATCGAGTGCATAGCAACTCCACCCTACATCCGCCCGCCAGATCGCGCCGGGTTAAACAACACAGTTAATCAATCTCATTTTGACCTTGACAGCTTAAATACCCGCACGTCATGTCACGTCACAAATCAAGGGACATTTCTCCTTGGAGTGGGAGAATTGGACGATCCCGCGTCAGGACCTAATTAATCTACGTTCGCTGCTAGAGTCCAATATTCTATCTAGCGAACGTACATGCCACCCCCCCCCCCCCCCCCCCTCTTTTCTCATTGAAAAATTAAGCCCCCGATTTTCTCCGGATTCCTGAAACTCCGGGGTCGCCGAGCCAAACGTACTCTACGGAGGCTTCCCCGGACCCCAGGCCTAGCTAACTACATGTATGTACTGTATGTAGCTAGGCAGCTAGCTCGGGGAAGAAGAAAAACTGGCGAACAGCAATTCTACCATCAGAATTTGGCAAAATGGCTTTTTTGTATTCAACCAGTACCGGTAAGATGGATAGATGGATGTCCGGTTTGGTTTCCAATATGTATCATACTCTAGAGTAGCTAGCTAACTAATTCGCAGCCGACCGATGATGATGGGTGATGGAAATTTCCTGAGTGCAATATCCCTATTCGCCCATGCACAGCAAAAACCCTCAAACTTGGCGCCGGGATAAGGTATTTATTGGGAATTTAAAAATATGTATGATAAATATGTAGCTAGGTGGGAGGAAGTGCCCGTGCCATGACCAAACATCGAATGCGATGGAGGTAAAATATATGAAATTATATTACATATGTAGGTACTTTCTGATACCCAACCCGCCGAAGTACAACATGAAACCAGACGGACCTGCGTAGCATGACAGGTCAATAAGGGCATTAGAGTACTTGATCATGCCCACCTACCTCCGACCGCAGGCCGCCGCTCAAAAGTCCTGCACACCCGTATCTCCCGCGCCCGCCCCCTCCTCACTTGGGCTCTCCGCATCAAAATACGCATCCTGCGCATCCCTCTCAATCTGCCTATAATCATCGTACTCCTCACTGTTATCGATGCTCTCGTAGTCAGCATCCTCATCTCTACCCTCCAAAAATCTCAGCGTCATCGTCTCCCGCCACACCTGCTCCGCCTCCTCCTTACTTGTCACCGTCTCGCCAACGCTGTTCTCTGCACGGGTCTCGAGGGTCGTAGCATCGCTGTCACGCAGCGCATCTATTTTCGCCTCGGACCGCGAGAGATCCGCGTGCAGGATGCCCGACCAACCCTTCTTGCGGCCCTCGGCTTCGCGCTCGGCCGGACTCTGGTGCTGCCGGATGAGACGGTCGTAGAGGAGGGGGTCGGCGAGCTCGAGGTCAGGCGAGGAAAAGTAAGTGGGTGAGTTCTTGGCGAGATATTGGAGTCTGAATGTGCTAGGTCAGCATTGAAGTACGGACGGGCATGAATTCGTGAAAGCTTCGGTTCAGCTGTTTTCTATTGGCAATTACCGTCTATTTCTTACGGTGACTCGGTCAGGGCGCGGTCGGGTCATCCGAGGAGCTTTGCCAATGGGTTAGTATCTGTGTTATTACTAACTTGTAGAAAGATCATTAAATAATAAGTTCAGGTGGCGGGAGCGATCGAGAGGTGGTGGACCTTGGAGTGAGAGTTGGGAGAGTTCAACACCCGCTGTAGAGGAGCTAGAGGATGCTGAAGCTCCGTCCTCTGGGGCCTCTTGCACTATTATTCCAGGCATGATATAATCGCGATTCTCTAGTAAGTGATGGCGGCGATGATGATGGGGATATAGTTGATGTGAGATCCGTGAGAGTGCGAAGTTATGTAGATGTATGTAGCTGTCGGAGCGAATACGATTGCGTACTGATAGTAGTAGTTAGCGTGGCAGTCATGATGTAGTGTACCTAGCACGGTTGATATGAGCATGGAGTGGATGCTACCATGTAGTGGGCGGGTTTAGTAGACGATCACTAGCTACTGTAGTAGAGCGCTCAATTAGGACACAATTAGTAGGCTGCTGCTAATCAAATAGTAGCAGCCCTGGGTGACTAACAGTAATGATAGCACTGTACCTACGGTCAGTCGGAATATTTCCGAGCATCAAGACAAGATCGATGGCATGCCTGCTCCCCCGATAGTTACACAGGCATCATGTCTGTAATAGATTAAAAAAGGCTCTCGCTGTGGTTAGTGTAGCGTGTTTCGGCCCCATTCATTAATCCCCCAATGGCCACCAGCCAAATAGAGTAGAGCGAACAGCCTAGAGAAGTCCCCTAGACTAGACCTGAACCCTGTAAACTCTCCGAAACAGCGGAAAGAGATCCCTCCAAATCCCACTTCTTAAAACCTCTCCCGCCGGAGTAACGGTTTGCTTGTTCCGCTCTACACTCCTTGACGACACGCTGGCCTTGTCACGACCTTTTGAATATTTTTGGATCTCGATAACTGATTTTTACGTTCCATCCAGTGGGTTATTGACGACGACGCAGAGCAGAGAAACGTTGTGCTGCGCTCTATTCTATCGCATCTCTTCACCACTGTCACCTTAACCGCCGGTCACCCCCCCCCCCCCCCCCAAACCCCTTCGAGTCGCAAGTCGATCTCAAGTTCTTACCAACTCTAAACAATGACTTCAAACTCTTCTGAGAAAAGTAAACGTACGATGTCGAAGCGCATACAGGCCGCAAAGCAGCCGAAACCTTTCCCGGGAGGTTTTGACACTACCTTGAGGCTTCCCGGCTTTATATCGGTGGTCAAGGCCCTAACCCTCATCGCGACCGCGTCTGTGGCCTCGTTCGCGTCTCAGTTAGCTCTGGCACCTGTCTACGGTGACATCCCGTCGTCCTTGTATCACTCAAAGATCTCGACGGCTGTCTTTGTTGCTGCATGGTCTGCAAAGTATAGTCCGGTTAGATTGCCGCATAGTCTCAAGAACTTTCTACCAATCATTGCCCTGTACACACCTGCTATACAGAGATATCTTTTCCGCTACTCGGACAGCTGGGGCCCTAAGAGTGGCCCCATTTATACAGAGGGAACTACATACTATCCCATTCTTTTCCTGACGGTTCTACACTCGGCGCTTCTGCTGGATCTTCGGAATGTCATCTTTGACTCTGTGTTGGGTGTACTCTCTTTGAGCTTTTTCTTGGGCGCGGAGTCCTATGTTCCCAATCTCTTGAGAAACCACATTGGATCATCATGGATCCTTACCAGATGTGGTCTGCCACAGCTGTTTGGCGCGCTTTATGCTCTGCTGTCGCCTTCACTCTTACTTCTCACGACTATTCCAGCCTTGTATCATACGGCGATAGTCAATACAATGTGTGTCACTACTCCTGCTCTCAACGAAACACTTGCTCTTTCAAACTATACCATGTTGGCTCGTCAAGAGTCAAACACTGGATATGTTTCCATCCTTGAAAGTAAAACCGAAGGCTATCGGATCATGCGGTGCGACCACTCTTTATTGGGGGGTGAATGGCAGAGGGCTCCTAAGGGGTTTGAACACCTTGACCTGGGATATAAAGAGCCAGTTTATGCTATTTTTGTGACCATGGAGGCCGTAAGGCTTGTTGACCCACCACCCAAGAACCCCAAGCCAAGGGCATTGGCTATGTATGATACCGATGGAATTTTTCCCTCCAATTCGTAAACTTACTAACAAATATTTCTAGCGGATTGGGGATTGGTACTGCAGTAAACGGCCTGCTTTCACACGGAGTAGAGACAGACATCGTTGAGCTGGATCCAGTTGTCTACAAATACGCCAAGGAATTTTTCGAATTGAAACTGAACCACACAGCATATATTGAAGATGCAATTGGTTTTGTTAAGAGAGAAGCAGCTGTGGAGAAAGACCGAAAGCAGTATGAGTTCATCTTGCATGATGTATTCACCGGTGGTGCTGTTCCTGCCAGCCTTTTCACCGGCGAATTCTTTAGTGATCTACGGACCCTTCTCACAGAAGATGGCGTCATTGCGATTGTGAGTTCCTTTCAGGCTTCCTTCCTATTAAAAGCTCAGAAGCTTGTAAAAAGAAACTCCGGTCTTCATTTCAACATTTTAGGACCAGACTCCGGCAGTAGTTGGAGACGATGAATCAGAGGCAATAGCTAATCACGTGACTTATAGAACTGGGCTGGTGACCTGAAACTGCAGGCCGCAAAGTCAATCATAATGACAGTCATGTCGACTTTTAACAATTGCAGGGTTTTTAGAGAAGATATGCCTGAAAAAGATGTCGAAACGGCTGCTGTTGACTTTACAAACATGGTAAGTGATATTATCAAATATTTTTTCCAATGAGTTTTGTATCATTGGTGATTCCCCTTCATCACATTTTTTCCACCGAATGAGGGCCATAGCCATAATTCTGGAAGAATGCTGTTTTCTTTTGGTCCCCGGGTCCCATTCCCGTGTGGGTAAAGTTACGACCAGGTCTGTGGTTCGTACCAGCACGAACATTCTTGGGCTTGGGTTGTGCAACAGAGTTTCCCCAGCCCTGTCGGCCTATCGGCCTGTTGCCAATTATGATTTTCTTTCTTTTAGATACGCCTTTTTCTCCCGCTCCCATGGTTTGTTGGAGCTCCCTCGTAGCCTATTTGTGTTACCCGGCAGCTAGGTGGACCCTGCGGGATCTTCGTTACCCCACGAAATCCTAACCAACTAAAACGTCGTTTGGTTACCATGTGGCTGAAGCCCCTCCAACTGCCATTCAATATTTTCTTTTTTTTTTGTCAACGAAGAAATACCTATCGCCCTTGCATCTTTATTCTGATTAATATTAATCTTCTCAATTATTCCCCTCTTCTTTTCTTCTTTGCCTCCCTTCAGCGCTCATGTGCTGTCCTTTGCCCAGCATGCCGTGATTTCCGGAGGCTTTTTTCTTTTCTTTTGTGAAAAGCTTACTTTTTGTCTCGGCTGGCTAACCGTTTGCCGAATATGGTTTCTGTATTCCTAGGTTATCTTCTGTACCAGGTCAGAGAAACCCTACACTTTCCGCGCCCCGACAAGGGCCGACTTCCTAGGGTCATATGCGAGGGAGCAGTTTCTCTTTCCCAAATATGAGATCAATCTCGAGCACTACTTCAGTAATAGTAGCAAAGGGATCCTCCTTAATGACAGGTCAATTGGTTCGCTAGTCGAGTGGCAGCAGACGAGTGCTTTGGGACATTGGAAGGTCATCAGGACTGTTGTTCCCCCATCAGTTTGGGAGAATTATTGAAGATCATGTCATCATGGATCTAGTTCAAGATTCTAGGATTCGTTAGTTTATTGTGCTGAGATGAAATATATCCAATGGCCAACTGTATCCTGAGGGTTGGTGATCCGGTGAGGCTGTATGTAGTGATATTCTCATTTGTTGCTCTGCTTGCCTTGACGCCGGCACCCGCATTTTCAGGTGAGGATGGATATTTCCTTTTGCGTCTGAGGTTAGTAGGTGATGATAATGATGATGGTGGTTGAAGCTTTGGTTGTGAGCGAGTATGTACGAGTATTGTAAGCGGTACATATCAGGGCTGGGCTTGAAATGATGCAGAATGACACGTGCCTTACCGAGTTTTTACATTCAATCTTTTCATTTTTACGTTACTTGGATGAGACGGGCAGCGACTGCCGTCGGTAACACTTCTTGGGCAAGCGATTGTGTAACTCCAGCCTGGCAGTTGATGTGCATACATTCTTCTGTTTCTTCTATAGACGAACACCCACAACGCCTAGCATGGCAACAGCAGAGTCGTACCTACATGATACACGCATACGCAGTGCAACCCTTACTGGGTGACCCTTTATGTATACTGGCTTCCTTTTGTCCATCCCACCTATCCTGTCTTCCCACCCAATTCCCTCGCATTTTTCCCCATGTTCCAGCGGCTTGCTTCATCCACTCCCGTGATGATTGGTTACCAAACCACGATTCTACTCCAAAGAGTACATGATGATAGGACAGGTGTGCAACCCCCCCCCCCCCCCACGTCTCCCGCCGCACAAGGAAGAGACAAGTCAAAAAATCCAATTTATTCCCCTCCCACCCCTACCTGTCTCTGTTTATCTTGTGTTAATTCGACAGCCGTGCACAGATTCACATGAGAGGTTGCACACTAGGTCTCTTCCCTTCGATAAAGACGTAAGCGGGCCCTGAAAAATCACTGTTGCATGAGATGATTAAACTCGATATGTAATCGAGGTCCTACCTGGAATTGCAGAGTAGGTACATACTTGTTTACCACGAAAAGAACCAGAAAATGTAAGTGACAGAGACAGGGATAATTTGTATGAGAGATCACCGCCACTCCATACAAATAATCCTTGCTCTGAGCAACTGTATTTTCTGGTTCTTTCCGTGGTAAACGAGTACAAACGTCGACGTACAGTTTACAGATAGCCAGGGCAGACAAGCTTCCCTGAACTGACCTTGCATCCCCGAGAGTTCAAACAGGCCCAACGCAAGGCGTATTCAATATCTTTGTCCGTTTCACCAATTATTCCCGGTTCTTGACCGACAACAGTGCAAATAATTCAGGTAGTTTAGGAGGCAAGTAACTGCACGGTGTTAAAGTGCTGAATTATTACTCTATCAACCTAGCTACCTTCCAACTTCATCAATTGGCTTTTTTTATTTGCAGATCCTTTACTAGTCGCTTAGAATACCTCAGTTTCGCTTAGCCCTTTCTCCTCTTTTACTGGCCCTCCCCTTGACGATGAGCCGCAAAAAAAAGAATAATAAGCGGAAAACTACGTATTTTTATTTTATTTTTTTGCTCCTTTGTCTCTCCATCTCATCGTGACAATGATCGTGATCACAAACTGAACCACAGTTCGCATCATTTAAGTCTGAATCACACCTCTCTCCTGCGCGCACAAGAAAAAGCTTGTCCGTTCCAGTCTCCTTGCGGAAATCGTCTTTTTCTCGCCTCAACCGTTATTTTTTTTTTTTTTTTTTAGATTGGGTGGACGGGTGCAAGAAAGAAAAAAGAGACGAAAAATTACGGAAAAGAAAAAATGAAGGAAGATAGTGAATCGAACTGGTGGCTGCTATCGGTTCTTAATATACCCCATTATTTCACACTTCAAAACTACGCAACCAATCCAGCCAACCAGCGGAGATTCCTCGGCATGGTCAGCTGTCTAAATTCGCTGCAGGGCCCACTCTCTATCTTGTCTTCCTTCGTCCCGACGCTTCCCTCCCAAAAGAGAGAAGTCCATTTCATCGGGAACTTTTTTAGTCTATCTCAAAAGCTCTAGAGATCTCGAGACCCTCTTTCATCACCATGCACATGAAAGAGGCAAATTACACCAAAGAACGCAAATACACACCCCTCCATTCATGATAATAATCTTTCTTTCTATCGCCATCTAGATCTACCGGTGGGTGCGCGCGTAAATACCTCGTTACAGTCTGTACGTGTTTAGCAGACAAGACTAAGCTATACCAGCACACGAGGTTTAGCCTGGCACGGCATAAATTATACAAATCTACATGTAGGTATATGTACCTACGGACGATACACAAAAATGTGTTTTCCTAACTGTATAAGTTGATATGAGGCAAAATTGGTATAGTACCGGGTACATCTTGATAGTCCTACAAAGTACCAACCGCCGTAGTAGAGTAGGAACCGCCCCCGTCTTTATCCGTTCGAAAATGGATTGTCCGCGGAAACCGCCCTGGGCCCGGCAAAAAGCAAGTTGTGTTGCATCGTCTCGTCGTTAACGCGTTTGCTCGGCGATCGAACATGATCGCTGACAACTGCACTGGGTGGATGGATGAGCGAGCTAGCTAGGCATTTAGAAATTTGTGTGTGTGTTTGTTCTCACCGACGTTGGCTGGCCACCACATGGAACTATTCTAGACGGGGGAAGAAGGGACTATCATATCAGTAGTTTCTTGTTTTTTTTGGTTGTTTTCTGCTGGGGCCCACCACCCTGTTTTGTTTCAATTTGTTAATACGACCCTTCCGATTCGGGAAATTGCAAATAATAGATTCTTGGCGTTGCCGTTGTTGAAATATTCTTGGCATTGGCATTACTTCCTGTTTTGTAGTGTATTTTTTCCAGAAGCATGAAATAAACGGTCACGACATCAGTAGGATGGACTCGAATTTCCAGGCATCAAACGTAGCAAGTTTATTTGAACAAGATGATGTTATTATATTGTTATTGATGATGTCTATGCAATGTATAAATATAAACAATGAAAAAAGAAAGCACCTTGAAATGTGTGCCAAAGAAACCCCTAGAAATACTGAAACCCCCTATACTTTAACAAGAAGCGACGGACAGATATATTGTCACGTCGATTGTAAATGATTTAAACATAGTAAATGTGTGCTGAGACGACATGCGAAGACGAAAAACAGTCATCGACGAGTAAACCAATTGAACGCCTGAGTAAAGCAAATCCCCCAAGATGGATATATGAAATGACCCAAAAAGCAAACCCAACCACCCAGAAAAATGACCCCTCACCCCGCACAATCCGAGACAAATGCAAAAATAACAGTCGGATTTAGAAAAAGCTGGGAAAAAAAAGGAAAGAAAAAAGGAGCTTTCTCAAAGTCTAAAGAAACCGAGCCAAGTGGGGTTCGGATGCCACCAATCAAGAGGAACTGCCACCTGAATTCCGTATCTATAATTCTCGACCGAATGGGGTTCCAGTTTGAGGAGGAAGATGAACATGTAGCCTATGAACGCCGACTTTCCCGGCTTGTTTACAGGCCGATTTGGATCCAGCATCCACATGCTTGAACAATGGGTCGTTGTGATCGTCTACATTGCAGCACTCAATGCTCTGCACCCACCGATCTGCAAGGGCTTCTTGAATAGTAATGCGCTTCGTAGGGTCAAGGTGCATCATTTGGAAGAGAAGGCGCTTCGTTGCTGGCTTGAGAGAAGCGAGGACGTAGTGACGGGGGTATGTGCCGTCCTTTGTCATTTCGGCATCGGGATGCCTCACGGTCCATTTCTCGAAGGATTCCACGTACTTGCCGTATTGCGGGCTGTCGCTAACATTTGCCTTGTGCCACAACGGCCCGCCAAATGCGAGGACGAAGTAGACCATGGCACACGACCAAACATCCAACTTGCGAGCATCGTAAACTCCTATGAGCGATAATCAGTACCATATCAAGACTCCCGGAACTAGTATATCAGAACTAACCTTCTTTGTTCTGAACTTCCGGGGAAATGTAAGGCGCGCTTCCAACAATGCCAGGTTTACTCAGCCTGATCTCGTTCATCTCGATCCCACATTTGATCCCCGCATCGCCGGGATGTTTCCCACGGAACACCTCCGAAACTCCAAAATCAGTTATTTTAAGGTGACCATCGCTAGAGATCAAGAGATTCTCTGGCTTGATGTCCCGATGAGCAATGCCGTGGTCGTGCAGATATCCAACACCCCTGAGTAACTGCTTGAAACAGCACATTTTCTCCTCATCCTTCATGAAATTCTTTTCAATCAAACTGAACAGATCACCTCCGGCACAGTACTCCATAACGTGACACCATCTGTCGCTGCTGCTGAAACAAAGATCCTCAGTCGAAACAATGTTGGGATGATTCAAACTCTTTGAGATGCAAAACTCTGAGCTGATCTTCTCAACATACTCCTCCTTCGTCTCACTTCTGCTCTTCTTGCGGAATTCCTTGATGGCGTACAATTCGTTTGGTGGTCCGGAAATCTTGTGCATTACTTTGACGATGGCAGATACACCCTCACCACAAACCTTACTCATTCCAGGTACATGGCTGTGGTTGGTGTATTTTGATGATAGTGGGATGACTGGGACGTTCAATACTGGCACAACACTGCTCATCATACGTGATTTTGAACCGGCGCCAACCAATGCTGGGTGGGTAATTGGGTTGCCAGTCAGGTCCTTGATACCACTTACACTGTTTGAACGGGAGCGTCTTGAGAAGATACCAGGGCGTTTTGGTGATGATGATGAGGTCTTGCCGTCGAATGTACTTGATGGTCGCTGTGCAACCGGCATTTCCAGTGTTGACGAAAGAGTATCTACTGGATGTGATGTATTCATTTGCGAATCACTTGGTGAGCGCTGGCCTGAGAAGAAACCTTTTGTCTTTGTTGGTGAAGGAGTGCGCTGCCCGGCGTCTGAAACATGACCTGAAGAGTGCACCCTACGCATGAGTCCCTGAATCTTCTCTGACGCCTGACGCCTCAGCTTCCCACGGGTATTCGGTTGCTCGTTTGAGGGACTTGCTGTTTTCCTTGGTGGAGGTGTAGCTGGGGTATTGACGATTGCTGGTGCGTTTTTGATGTTGTGGAAACCCTCGTTACTAGAGTTGATAAAGATGCTTGAGTGACCATCGCTGGTGGGCGTGAGTGGTTCATGGGCTTCACTGGCAGTCTCGTCATCCTCTTCCTCCTCTGGGACGGTGTGGCATTCGTGAATGTTATCCTCAAAGGATTCTGGCTCAATATAAAACATTGGCTTAGGATGGAGATCGGTGTGTTCGAGGTCCAGTAGGGGAGGCTCCAATGCAGGGTAGAGCGCAGGCACTACCGAGGGGTTGTACTCGGGATATGTTTCTGGAGTCATTGGTAATGAGGATAGCGAAGCTATCGAGCTTGAGCAGGTAGAGGGGCAGGAATCTGAGTGGAATGAGTTGTTCATCAATGCGGTGTCCAAGTTCTGTCCGACAAAGAGAAGCTGCTGCTATTGTTGTTGTTGTTCAAGAGAGAGGGATGGACGGTTGTCAAGTAGTAGTAATAGTCAAAGCTGCTACAGAAGTTGTGGTAGTACTAGAGTAGTTGAAGAGGGGTGGTGTACTGGCAGTGGTTATACGTATTAGCGGGAGTGCGAGTGAGAGAGATAGCAGCAGCTAGTAGAGGCGTGCAGAGGTGCAAGTACGTGCAGAGTGCAGGAGAGAAGGGAGGGCGGGTATTCAGTATGAGACCAGTCGAGACTGAAATGGGGAATGGGGAATGGGAGATGGTGGAGGCGGCGGAAGCCTTGCTTATAGATATGGGATGAAGGCAGTAAGACGTAAGGGTAAGTGCAGAGAAGAGAGAGTGTAATTGATAGTCCGAAATCCGGCGGATATCGACGTGCCATGCAGCAGACCAGGGATATATAAGAAGTATGAAGGAAACGGGAGGAAGAAACCTCGAGGGGTCTAGTCTGGGGGCCTGTCAGGCTAGAAGAGGCCGAAAGCCCGTGAGTGGTGGGTTATCCAACTTATGGGTGGTGTTTGAATCCGAGGGAACGGTGAGTGGATGATGGCAAGGAAGAGGCGCACAAGACCAAAGAGGCTGTTTGAACGGATAGATGTATTTAATTATGTGTAAAAATATGTACGTATTTGTACTGTTTATGTATGGACGGAGGTATTTAAGATGATAGGATAATAGATTTGAAGGAATGTTGTGTCGGGCACAGGACGAGAGCGGAAGTAAGAGGTTGAGGCAAGAGGTGGTGGGAATATGGTAGTAGTAATAGTAGTTTGCGGCGGCGGGGGAGGGGAAGAGCAAGCGAAGGAATGGGAACGAACGGGGAGGGGTGGTTGAGTGATGGATGTGGTCTAGAAGGAAAACGGGAAGAGCACAAGTAAAATAGTGGGGTGGGAGGTGGTAGCAGTAGTAGATTTACCTAGTGTAGCTCGACAGATAGGAAATGATTGTGGGTGGAGCGAAACCATGGTGGAAGCGAAACCACAAACTTTTTCTTACCCGCGCCAGACAAACAGAGATAGAGTACCAACATAAAAGTGCAAAATCAGGATCTGGACAATCACTCGTTCGCTCACTCACTCTGGCCTCTATTCTACCGTACAGAGAGACATGAATGACACCTGAACGCCTCTCACATACTCATATTGTACATACAGGCAAGACACAGATGAAGTCTAAGACCCTGCCTCACTGACGGGCGGTGATAACCAAGTGCGTGGGCGTTAACGCTCCCTTCCACCACAATTTCTAGGTGTGTGCGGATCTCGGCTTTGCTTTTTCGATTTGATGCTGCTGGTGGGGACAGGGCTTGGGAAATGGGGGGCTTGGTGCGACCTTGTTGGGGGCGGGTCAGGGAAACAAGTGAACAGATTTGGGGAGAGGGTCCAAATCATCATGCAAGGAGTCCAAGCAGGTCGTGTTGCTTGCTTAACTGGGGGAACGCTCGCTTGATGGGGCAAGGTCTGGGTGCTAAGCAAGATTTCAATAAGGAACCAATGGACCCCTCCTCAACCCCTACCATTATCCTCCCCGCTCAACTCGATGACGATATGACGATGATGTCGGAGCCCATCATAGGCGTCTACTCTATTTGTCGACCTTCCTGACTTCTTCTTTATCCTCATCTTCCCTTCGTGATCCAGATTCCGGGTATACAAATAACAAAAGATTAAGTTATATGTACCCCATATTTTGGAATTTGGGACACACCCGCCGCCTCTTCCAACTCACAAAAGAAAAGAAACAGCACATACCCTAGACCATAACAACCACCTCGATAATAATTATAATCTCAAACATCATCTAGGTATCTTGTTTATCCGTCCACAGGCACAGGTCATCACTCAGTCTGGGAATTCTGCTTATTCAACCAAATACCGGCCCGGTAGGTTATCAGCAGTGCACGCAGGCATTTAGCTACATACATCCTTCGGTACCTAGAGTACCTACTCGTACAGCTCTCCTACACTGACCGTGTAAATCCATAGCCGCTCTGAGATCTTTACTAAGCCAGACTCTCTTCACTCAGCAGTTGTCTGTCTCACTCAACGGTTTCCTGTCAACCACCTACAGAAAGTGGCATGTATCATCTGTACTTTCTGTAACGAAAAATGAAATAAGAAACCCACCAAGATCAGCTAAATATGTAAACTAAAAAATCGCACATAGGCAAGTGACTTGTTATGCCTGCAACTTCATCATCATCAATGTCATAGACCCCATGCGTGTGCTACGTAGGTACTCTACTTCACTTGTCACTTGTGCTGCCAGTCAGCGGAGAAGGGAGCATGGCCGACCATCATATTATTTCCATGTCGGCCTGTCAGGTTCCCGCGAGTCGCCTCTTCTCCCTATGGGTTGCCGTGGGGGGGACCCTGTCCGTGGGATAGATCGGAAGAAATGGGATTCCTTGTTGACAGTTTCTGGGCGATTTGCAACCACTACATTTCTCATCCCCACACTTTGTATTTTATTTTTCTGTCTGTTTTTGCCTTTTTATTTCCCACCGAGGTAAGGAATTCTTGGGTGTAACATGTTACTTTGCATCACTGACCAAAGTGTTTTTCTGGGGTAAAGGGCTTTTGAACAATTTAACCCCGCCTTAATCTCTCAGATTATGCCCTTGTTACCAAAAACAGAACAAGTGACTTGCGGCTCAAAAATAAACCAAAATAAGAGCTTCCCATTTGGCAGCACACTAAGCGAAATAAGAAAGAAGCAGGGAACCTGCCAGCTCATTTTTCTCAGCCGCTATTTTGGAGCTGCGGAGGTGATCCGTGGCGGCGGAGAAGACGGAGACAGCGATAGCATCTCCCCGCAGAGGAAGGAAGCCTGAGCTTGAGGAAGAAGAAACAGTACCTACATAACCCACGGCATGTAACGAACGCTATGTCCTTGGGGGTCAATGTTGTCACTTCAGCCCAATTTCACCTCGAACAAAGTACTACCGCAGCATACATACATGTCATATGTGCAGAGCACAATCACAATAATCTCCTCTACATACAACCAGGTACGTACATGAATGTAGGTACTGTATTGTATCTTAGACTCTAGAGCCAGAGCACCGCGGCCGGCCCAGCAGTTGTGATGTGCGGCACGCGAGTGTGGTGAGCACTAGGGCAATAAACAACTGTAGTATGCAGCGGTTCAGGCGGCTGGCATGTCATGTCTGCTGTCCCAGCGATGTTTTCGTCTCAGCTTTTTTTTCTTGCATTTCATTCCTTTTCTGGACATCTTAACCATGTTGGCAAAGCCCTGCCGAGAGCGATTTTGCGGTCAACGCCTATGTCTGATTGGCTGTTAACATTATTAAATAGCTAATAGCCAATCAATCTCTCCATCTTAGAGCTCATAATATACAGGGCTGGCCAGAGGGAAGGGTTGGTGTCTCCGCGCTTCGAACAGGAAGCCGGGGAAATGCCGCTCTTCTCCATCGCCTAGGTAACTCTCTTAATCGCCCTATTCGCTCTGTACCGTACCCCTAGCTAACTACACGTATTGGCCCCTATTCAAACCGTTTTAGTAATTTGTATGTGTTTCTCCCCATTCTGCTTTTAGGTGTACGTTTTGGAGATTAAGACAAACCGAACCAGAGACGTCGATGATTGACGAATGCCCCAAGACAAGACAAAAGCAAAGTACCGATCCACCCCACAACTTTGAACCACAGCGTTGAACAACCAACAGAGAAAAATTCCCCTAGCTCAACGTCTAAAATCGGTACATACATGTCCTGTAGTCTCCGCCAATGTCAATTACGCCACTTGGGATTGTCAAGTCTAAGTCCAGTAACATATATAACTTCCGAACCGCTCTTCAAAGTTTAGAACTTTGCAATAATAACGATCGTACTAGCAAAAGAGGAACATCTGGTGCGGCAATATGGATTAATTGGATGGCATGTGCACACCGATCTCCCCGAAGCCATTCTAGAGTAGGTCCATACGTAGTAGAGATTTCATAAAGGAAGAGTCTCTAACCCCGGAGACCGGAAATACCGATAGACCGAAAATTGTAGCTTTGGCTCTGGCGGTGAGCGAGCTTTCAGCACGAATAAGGAAAATATAAATAATGTTCCCATGTGCTTTGGGTGGCCTGCTTTTCTGCCTGCCCTGCACGTTCACGACGTGCCGCAAGATCCGTAATTCACAGCGATCCTATGGAAGCAATTACTTTTTGTTTTCTTTCGGTACAAGCTTCAAGAAAAATCCACCGCCGGCCGGCCTTCTTGGGAGGTTGCTCTACGTACATATTTCTTTACTGCCGTAGAGTAAGCCAGCCATCCAGGCAGGCACGTTGAGCACGTTGTGTCCAGGCAGAGTAGGTAATTTTTATCACATAAATCGCCTCCCAAACGCCTTCGCGACAAAGTCCGAGCTTCCCTCACCGTATCGCGATAGGTAACTGTCGAAAGCGGTGGGGCACAACCACCTCTCCGCAAAATTACGCTTTCTCGGCAGCAGACTTGGCGGCAGATCCAAGGGTCTCCCCTCAAATGGGGAAGCGGGACATAAACCAACGCCGCTGACTTGACTCTTGACCTTAACTACTACTAGAGGGAGGGAGGGATGGGATGGAGCGCTGTTTTCGTCTCTTGTCTGCCTCACGTTCGTTGACCGCCGCCGCAACATTTCCATTAGCACATAATTTGACCGAGGTTCCGCCGCTAGAAAAGAGGCGCGAGTTGATAACGAAAACCACTGACCTGACCTGACTTGATTGACTGGCATCTTGAATGTTGAAAGAGACAGGCCCTGGTTTCGAAAGGGAAAAAAAGTGAACGAACTTGTTTTGTTTGGTTTTGTTTCGCCTCTCACCCTCCCTCTTCCCCGGCCTATCCCCCACCTTTTGCTTCTCCGGTTCGACTCCGAGTACACACCGGAAAGGAATAAAGTGGCCAAGTGGAACGCAAAAAAAACTTTTTACGCAGGAAAAAAAAAAAGAGACGAGCAAAAAAGATTAAAAACCATGACATGGCACGGTAAAGATCATCGTCCATGTGGCCAGATACAGGTCAATGATCACACAGTCAGGCAGAGTTGCTGCTCCCTGATGTTCACATACACGGACCCTTCAACGCGGCCCTTCAACCATCCTTCCATCGAACCTTCGCGATCATCACCAAGGCCCTCGTAACGTTACTTTGCTGCGTAACTCTATTACGCTGCAATGATGTCGAACATAACTTCGCCCCCCCTTGTTCAGATCCTGTTCGCTCAGGTGTTTTTGCTTCACTCGGACCAAGTCCCCCAATCCATAACGTTGCATCAAAGACTGAGAGATTTCTGATTTCCATCCAAGCAACTCGCACATGACGGACGGGGTTTTTGCTTGAAGAGAACGCAAACTGGAAACCGCCAAGAATACCAAGAATACCAAGAGAATACCAAGAGAATACCAAGAGGATATTTTAAAGTTCGGAGATGGGGAGCGAGCATGCTCGGTCAATCACTCGCAAGGCGACCCTGGTTTCGGTCTCGTGGGTTGAGCGCATCGGACGGAGGAGAGAATGCAAATTGCTGCAACCACATATTCTGGCTTGGCCGTTGAATGAGAGCTATGACGATCAATCAACAATCACAGCCTCAAACCAGATCAACACCTCAAGGTGTTTGTCCCCCCATCCCACCCAACTTTAATTTATCGCCCATATGTCTCAGGAAGGAAAATACGCCCGTTACAGCTTTCTCCGTACCTCGCCCAGAGAAATTCTCCGTGTTCGAGTGACGCGGCGTGCTTGGCCTTCTCCCATTTCAAGCATATCTTTTTGCATGTCTCTTTCTCCTGTGACTGAAGACTGGATGCAGGGCGTGAATGGATGGTTATCAAGGTCCGATGAAACCGCTTTGATACATACCACCACGGCCGCCGACGAGGATCGATCAGATAAAAGGGTTGGCATACATAAATATATATACACTTTCCACGTACGCATTCAACCTTGACCCTCACATACGCGCGCTGGAGCTCTTGGTTAAACATTTTGGCAAAAATTTACTGCGCTTTTCGTGATGATACTTTTTTTCGACGGAGGAGGCTCCGTTGTCTCTCGCTCACTCACTGGTTTTTACATATGCGACGTCGCGATCTGCGCACAATAGGGATGAGATAGCAAAAGTGTTGTCTTGAGGTCCGCGTGTCCCAGATATACTTTCCTTTCCTGGCACCTACCCGTGGGCAGTGGATCTTGCAAAGAAGGAAAGCGATATGATAATAATAATACTAAAGGTACTAAAGGATGCAGAATGCAAATTGGGTAGATCTCTGGAAGAGTTCGGAGCGTGCTCGATCGATCCATCCTGCCCTACCTAGAATAGTTACTTGTACCCATGCCAATACTCTCTACCAAACTAGAGTAGAGAGTACACAGCTAGGTAGAGAACTCTACCGCCGCAGTACATATGTACATAAAGATAGGCGGTTGAAAAGTAATCCAATTATTCAGAGACCTCGCGTGAATCTGTAATTGTGCGTTATCGCATTACGAACCCGTTGAGGAGTTTGTGGTGATGATTGCCCGAACGGGGAGTTCTAGAATTCGGTTGATTACCTACCATATCCCAGCTAGCTAGCAACTAATACTAGTACCAGGGCTACCAATCCAATTATCACGAAAAGTCACTCGGCGGGTCCAGACAGTAGTCTATCTTGGCTCTGTCCCTTATTCTCTATGCACCACTCACCACTCACCCGCTCACCACTGACTCCTGCCCTTCAAACACAACCGCCATTTCACCATCCCCGTACATACCTACATAACATACACTACCCTAGCTATGTATCATAGCCAAGCAGTCCAAGGCATAACCCAAAACCCCCATCTCTCACTTTCCAACTCCAGGTGAGACCCTCCACCCTGATCTCTGGGAACCCCGCGACATCCTTCCCCCCCAACGTACATTGAATTCGTCATGCACGATAATCACTTATCCGTTTTGTTTCTCCCGCATTCTGTTTTCTTTCCCCCCGGGGTCTTCGAGCTCCCCAAACACCCTCCCTCTCCCATTCTTCTTCTTCTTCGGCGCAAAAAACTAGATACCTCCGGATGTGCTATATTGGCATATTTGCTTCTTTTTCTTTCGGACTTTCTGGCTACAGAGTAATCAAACAAGCTGAGCAACAATTAACCCGGCCGCGGATCAGATTAGATCACAGGGACGTGGGTACGCAGGTTTGTTTCTGGAAGGAAGAAATTTTTCCTTCCCGCTGGCCTGCGGCGTCCCGTATGGTCTGGTCTGGCGCGCGGTTTTAAAAAAATTTCTTTTCGGGTGGCAGCTATTTCTATTTACGGCAGTGGGAATTATAAGGGGGTAGAGTCAAGTCAATAGCGTACCTAGAGTAGGTAGGGAAGAAGTAGGGAAGAAGAAGTAGAAAGTGTATGTAGCTATATCTAGAACATGCATATTCATCCAACACTACCCTACTCTATACTCGCCCGCCCAGCCAAACCACCAACCCAACCCGCTTAACACTGAGTATCCCATTCCTGGTCCCCTTCCATGCAGGCAGGCAGAGTTTTTCCGTCCCCATTGCCCAACAGGTGAAAAAAAAGAATTTACTCCGGACAGCAGGGCCGGACGTCTATTAATTGCTACGCTAGGTATATATATGTACATTCGCAACCTATCAATTGGCCCAAGCTCCCTCCTTCCTGGCGAGCCAGCCAGGTAGCTATGTAGCTAGCTAGGTAGCTAGGTAACTACAATATGTAGGTAGAGGTGCACAACCGGACCTGCTTCGGCCGAAACACTCTGACCGGCCGGTGCCCTACCTCCCTTACCACCCTCTTGCCCTACGCCCAGCCTGCAGCACTCCGGTCCTCTACTCTAATAAGTCCGTGCTGCATGCGGAGCGGACGGACAGGCGGGTGGGAAGGAAGGGAGGGCGGGCCTGACTGACTAGATAGCTCGCTCATAAACGGGTGCCCGCGTATCGCAGGAATTTATGCTTAAAAGGTCCATGTCGACGCGGTATCCGGTTAGGTGTGTGTATGCGAACCCTCCTCATAATACAAGTATGTATGGTTTTCTACACTGTGTAGCTGATACAATGTAGGATGTGACTGAGACATGATGTTGTGTGGAGCCAAGACTTTTTGGCTGGTTGGTTGGTTTGATTGGGGGTGTTTGATTGCTAGGTGGGAAGTGAGAGAGGAATGGATGGATGGAATGGATGGGATAGGTGGTATAAGGCAGGATGGGCTGAGGGATCGCTTCATGGGTGCAGGCAGAGATGATGTCGTGAGCAAAAGTTTAAAGCTAGCTGTCATGGCATGACAGCTGTCTAACTAAGCTGGAGATCAGGGTGGGAATGGCTATAGCTATAGTATAATGGGGATATTGTATGATATATGTATGCTTGGCTTTATAGGTTTGTAGTTAGTAAGTAACGTATCCATATAAAATCTACTTTACTCTACTCTAGAGTACACCCTCTGCATGCCCCCTGATACCATTATATCTGATCAGTAACCTACAATTAAATCCCCAGTAAGTATACGTATCCAGCAATCGCAAGCAATTCTAAGGCAATCACTCAATCACTCAATCACTCAATCCCTCAATCAATCAGCAAGCAAAACCGTAACACACGTGCCCACTTCCCCTTCCTAGCCGTGCACCGTCGTCATCCCCCACTGCTCTCCCTCCTCCCACTATCCCTCCTCCTCCTCCACCTCCACCTCCTCCTACGCACCAACACAACCTTAAAGCAAGGCCTAGGAGAAACCGCACTCCCTGCACACACTGTACTGCAGCATCTATACGTACGTGTTCCCCCGCGCCTGGGTCCTTGAAACGCCGCCAAGCCCGCCGAAACCGGCTTCGCTGCCAATTGTAAATTAAACCCTCGCCGCTACGTAAGTGCTCAGAGACGTTGAGGATAAAGATAAAAAAGGTTAAAAAAGAATATACATAGTGCGTATAAGTGCGTATCAGGATTCTTGGGTTTTCCCTGTAGATGGCTGTTGCCAAAAATCCAAACCCTGGTAGTTTGCGGGTTTAATTTTCATAATAGGGCTCATATCATGATTCATACGTCTCAAGTAATCGCAAGTGACAAGAACCCAACCCCCAACACGGCCATACGGATGGAAGCTAAGGTCTATGATGCCTAAACCCCTCCCACCATTCCACTACATCCACAATTCCATCTCTGGCTACACTCTGTCTGCCCTACCGTCACACCGTGTCACTCGACCATTTCCCGCCGCAACCCACCTTCACCCCTCATAACCCCTCACGTCCCCACACTCCTACTCCCACCGTACCCTCCACAATCGACTATACCCCAGTCTCATCGCTATAGATCCCTCAACCAGCTGCCCCACCTCGCCTCAGACCGGGTAGCTGCATCTCTTCCCCCCCCTCCTCCCTCAATGGTAGTACCCGATATGATATATATGGCTCTCATCTAGGTGGTATACGTACACGCGTAACGTTATCGAGGCAAGAGATATGGCATGATGTAAGGGAACATGATCGAGAGAAAGAGCCGATCTGTCTTGCAAATTGGGTGAAGATTAGCGTGAGCTTTACGCTTCATGTCGGGCCGTTGTGACAAATATGAAGTGGCATCTAGCGGGTGCATCGAGAATTAGCTCAATCTTGCTGGTCTGGCCTTCCTCGACAATCTGGTTCAATTGAAAGGTAACAGTAAAAAGTGGGATACATGTACGTCTGCTACGCACTCAACGGTCTCAAGAAATTAGTCTTTTTTGTTGGGTGCGTCATGGTGTATCACTCACCACACATTGCGCCGTGTCTATCGGCTTGGATTTCAAATGTCTTGTCTTAACTCTTGTCTCTTGTGCGTAAACGGAGATGGATAAGTGCATGTAGTACAGCTGCCTCGAACCATGGGAAATTGTTTCTACCGCATCAGTAATATGTAATTACTGGGAGTCTAATCCGGCAAATGGACGCCTCCCGGGACCGGGCATTAGTCCACTCACCCGACTACCTGTACCTGTGCTTCACCTACCGTTCATCCCACAATAACTCTAACCCACTGTGGCTACAATGGCGTCTCCAACATCAACTTCCCACCCTGATCCGAAGGAATCCCTCGCGCACTCAACTCAGGTCCGCCGTCAGCGACCCGCGTCCGGCACATGCTGGGCGTTTGTGCGCAGCAATAAACCACCTTCTGGGATCGCCTACCATCAATCCGCTCACGAGGCCAATTGCCCCCTCCAGAAGTTTGAGAGTGATTGATCGTGCGGTAACCCTAACCCACCCGAACGCTGCCTACTTTGCCGGGCCCGCCAGGCATCGGCGATGGACCACCCGCTGGCTGGTGTGGCCTCCCGCGCCGTGTATGTTGAGCGACTTGATCTACCCGCAGGCTCTTCATCTCCTCTACCAATTGCCGGCGTATGGGCTGAGGCTAAGTCCGTGATGGGCTAGCCCACGCGGTCAATTGTTCCTCTATCAGTTGCTGGTCGTACAGATATTCTAATGCTTATTAGTGTAATCAACCTACAACCACATGCAACAACACCTCTCTCAGCCAGCCTTGAGTACGAGCACCGTCATCCGTGCATCAGCCCTGAAGCCCCCACAGCCTTTCATTGTGCCAAGCCAGAACTGAGCCTGAGTCCTGACCGGTCAAAGAGAGCTGGTTTTTAGTTTTTTCTTTGCCTGAACCGGTCCGGGCCGAAGTGCTTCTCGGACCGTTCCGGGAGGAGATAGGTGTGCTGATTCATGTTAAGTGGGGTCTTTATGTACATGATCAAAGGGTCAGTTAGTATGTTACCAAATCTTAATAAGTACGCATTCAATATGCTTAATTCCGATGAATCTGACGGGTGTCCCATATAATTAAACTTTGACCCAGCAGAGACGTACATTGACCTCTACCAGACGAAATATCCCGAGATTCTTTTGTGAGGTCTCAAGACTTTCGAGTGATAACGAGTGATAACGAGTGATGCCAAATATTCCCAAATAGATGGGAATAGCATTCTCGCTCATTGGGAATTCCCCAACAATACAGGCTCTATAGTTCGGTTTTATCCGGTTCGGGCTCTTCTTTAGCCCTGGACAGATCTTAAATATACGGACTTTGCATACCCCCCTTCATAGCCCTTGGCACACATATGGAGTCTGGTAACCTTTTTTGACTTCGATATATCAGAAGGTTGAAACGCCTTAAGCCGGGGACCACTCACTTTGCCCATATTCTGAGAAAGAAATATGTGGATTGGACTGGACTGGACGGTCCTAAAGTAAAGCTACATGGAGTGGCCCGGTGGGAGCCTTTCTCAGGCTCGGCCAGTTTATCAAAACTTCAGAAGCCTACAGGCTCTGCATAGCTTCCGAACGATCGGGCTGTCCTATCTGGTATATCTAGTCCTGAACACATATATTCCTAATATGGTGACCCATCCCATGGTGGAAAATAGACTAGCTCAAGTAGTCCTACCTGGCTTTCATTGAAGGTAAATATTGAACCAGATGGTAAAAATCTTTGAAACTGTACAGTATTGCTTTAGCACACTCCTCATGCGTTAATTCCTTCTTTGCATATGGCGAATGAAGGAAATATTGTAAGCAATCCAGAATTATGTGGGCTCTTGGAATCCGATCCCGCTTAGTCCCTTATCTGGTGCAATCCGACTCAATCCTTTCATCTCATTTCATCGAATATCCGGTTTAGTCCAATTTCATCTTTTGTAACTGTATGGACCGTTTCGGCCTCTGATAGCTTGACAAGCAGCTGCTTGGCCGTACAATTGACCAGGAGAGTCTTTGCAGCATCATTTCTTGCTACGAAGTCACCAACTCAATCAACTAACCATACTTCCTGACTTGGGTCCATTAGTAGGCCTATTAAACCCCCCCGGTATGCGAAATGTAGCAATACCCATGAAGTCCGCATTCTCATAGCCCTATAAAGGAATATAGGCCCGCCGAGCCTGTTAGATATTATATACTCGCAATTTTTTGGCGTTTCCGGACTGAACTGGGTCTGCATATGGGCGAAAATTGTGCATAAGAACCATTTTGGTGGTATGCAGACCCAGTCCAGTCCGGAAACGCCAAAAAATTGCGAGTATACAGAATGTCTCCGCTGTCCCGTGTTACATAGGTTGCATTGCATCATCCACGAGGTAAGCCACTGCGCATGCCTGAGCAGATTCAAGTAAGGGACCCGGACGGGCATAATATCTGCTGTATCTCGAATCCGCGGACCTTAGGAAGCTTGCCACGAGGAAACGCACCGGCAGTTAAAGATTTCCAGCGGGGTAAATAAGGTAAGGAGGTCCACGAGGTAGGTATCGACTGATATATGCATGCATAATTCCCCAAGGTCCGCGGTCCGAGCACCGTGCATAAATAATACCGCGCAGGACCTTCCGCTCCGCCCCAGGATATATGGCGCGAGAAGGCATAGGGGGTGGGTGTGTCAACTTCAGAGGAACCTTTTTTGTATGGGAATTAGAGAAAATTCCACCGTTAGGCTAGGCGCTAGTACCATTGTGTGAGTAGATCTCCCAATTTCTATAGATTGATTGGCTGCAAACGCCGAAGTTTACACACCTACCCACCATAGCTTCTCGAGCCATATATCTTGCAAGATAACCTGAGCCAGCGGATTTCCCTAGTATTAACCAGCTGCTATTGTATCCTTGGACACATAACTAGGTCTTGGGGCCTGGTTCGGGCTGCAACGAAATTGAGGCAAAATTATCATTTCCAGTTTGTTACTGCGATGGCTGACTACAACCGCGAACAAAACTGAATGTAAGATTAAAGTATGTGTAGAGAGCGAGGAGCCTCTTTTCTCGATTTTACCAAGGTTTAGAACACCTAAGCTTCTTAGATGAGACTTTCTAGAATCTTCATCAAAGCGCGCGATCGGCGGGTCCCCGACAAATATACCAAGGTAAACGTGGCTAACTCGACTCTCGAGAAAACTTCTTTATACGGCAACCTTCTTACCTGCCGTGCATAATCAAGTTCCTGCTGAAATGAGTTATTTCTTTCTCTCCAGAAGCATTGGCTATGTAAGTTAGCGGCTTGACTAGTTATTCATTGGTGGAATGCACCATTTCAGAAATTCCCCTTGATTAGAATTGATTCATGAACGGGCTACCATATCTGTGAGTATTACTCCTGCTTAGACACCTTTATGACTAGGATAGAATAAGATCATGTAAGCTCATAACCGTGATTTGATAGAGGAGGTAGTAGCTGTTTTGTTGATGGCAACAGCTCTCCAAAAGGCGAAAAGCAATTCCAACCTTAGCTTTGATATTCCGGACCGGTGACAGTCTCTTGAATGGATCAAGCCTTATATGTGCCTGATCGGCACGAAATTATATCAGCTGGCTGCTTTTTGGTTTTTCCTTCGTGTGCTGAACCGGGCCGAGAGTGTTCTCAGACCAGGTCAGGAGAAAATAGATGGCCTAATTCTCCAGGGTCAAATCAGGCCCTCGTAGTAAAAGCGACCACCACTAGACCAACAAAGATCCAAAAAGTCAGAGCCGATCTTAATTCTGAAACTGTAAATCTCTGCGCTCAAACTGCTTTTCAGGCGGCAGCTGATGAGGGCCATATTGACAGAATGTGAAGCATGTGTGCAAAAGTCAGCTCGTGAGACCATGGTCCTGATCCAGTCCAGGATGTAAATATCTCAACCGGCCCGGTCTTTTCTGGTCGATGGGATTGGTCCGGTCCATTAAAGTCAAGGACTTTAATGGGCGCCGGGTTAAGGCCGGCACCCAAGCCTTTTTTTCAGCAGGCCAAGCCAAGCCGGAAAGCCTTCTCATCGGCCAGGCCATGTCTTCCCCATTTGCCGGTTGGGCTTGAGAGAATGCCCGAGCCGGTTCTAGTGCCCGTACTAATTCGAATAACATCGGCCATTTTCCCTTGGGAGCATGGGGGAAGAGCAAGGGCCTAGATATGTGCCATAAGTAGTAGCTAGATGTGCATAAATGTTCAAGTGGATAGTCACACTTCCAACTTAGATTCGAACTCTTTAGTACTTTTCCTCCCTCGGGAGTTACCCAGCTGGGCCAGATTTCTGTAGCGGGCCAGAGCAGTCTGAGCTCCACTCGACGCCCGGGCCGGGCCATTGAAGCTCTTGAGATTCAAAGTCTCTGGTCAAATGATCGATACCGTTCTGGTCCTCATAGTGTTCCTCGCCGTTACCGGCCGGTTTCTACCAGTACGGTAAGTGGACACCTTGAAGTTACTTCTGAAAGGCCAGACCGGGAGACCGACGCCGGCAGATGATAAAAATGACAGATTTTGCATGTTCACGACCTGGGCCGAAAACTGATGTGAAGAGAACGAACACAAGAGGAAGAGGGGGTGATACTCACGTATATAAATGTAGCCGTGTTTACCGTTTTAGAATCCACCTTTACCTGATCTCAAAAGCTGTCTTTTTAATGGCCCGGACCGGGCAAGGTTTACCTCAGGCCCGACTGCCCGGCTGCCCGGCACACGAATATGCTGGCTTGGCTGTCCCGGCCCGACTGGCCTATAGAATTTCTTTACCAGCCCACGCCTAATAATTATAGGCTACAGAAGTGCAGCTCCTCCTGGGCTAAAAATCATAATATAGGAACACCCATCAGGTTCATCAGGGCAAAGCATGTTATCTCTGATAAACCAATGAGACGTGATTTATTTACAAAGGACGGGGTCTAGTAAACTACTTAAGTATTTAACTAATTCATAATGAAGACAGATATCGTCGTCTCACTACAGCGGGCCACGCATCCGCCCTCTCAACTGACGCACTGTTATTGTTGTCCTTTATATATCGATAATCTGCTTATCCAGCTTTGTTTACGTAGCGTAGATATTAACTCACTTTACTAACTATAACACTCAAACGACAAATTATGTTGCAAAAAGGTCACAGTTACATAGGTATCTTCTGTTCACATGAAATCCACCTCAGGCCCAGGTTCGCAGTAGTTTAAAGTTGATACTTTTCGTAACACCGGCGGATCCGCGGAGCTGTTGTACTGACAGTTTGTGCAGTCACCATTTTAAAGAAAGGGCTGTCGTCTGAGACGCCAGGCCCTCTGAGTTAATTTCAATCAAGTTCAGCCTATCTAAATCATCTCACCATCTCTTTCCGCGGGTATAAGTCGGATAGATCACCCCATATATGCAGGTCTTCTGATATGAAGAGCACTCAACTACAACCCTAACCCACAACACAACGACTCCGGTCCTATAATGATGAAATGAAG